TGCCAAGCAAGCTCTCAGAGAGATCATTAGTTATACCTCATGGCCACCTAAGCATTATTCACAACAGCCATAATTCAGGAAGCAACCCAAATGGTCCATCAATAGATGAGTACATAAAGAAAATCTGACCTATACAGCATGATGGAATATTATGCAGCCTTAAATGGGGAAAACAAAGCCTACTGCCTACAACAAGATGAACAAGCTTCACTTTGTGCTAAGGGAAATAAAAGCACTACATCATTCCACTCATATTAAACAGCTAAAATCATCAGAGCTGTAGAAACAGAAAGTAGAAAGGTGGTTACCATGGGTTGCGGTAATGAAAGGGAGTAATGAAAGAAGGGAAATTCGTGTTTCCTGGGTATAAAGTTTCAGTGTTGCCAGGTGAAAAAGCTCTGAAGATCTAGCACACTGCAGTGAGAATACACTCACAACTGCACTGTATACACTTCAAAATGGCTAACATGATTAAGTGTTTTGTTTTTATTTTTATCACAATAAAGAGAAATTATGGTGCCAGTAGAGTCCACCAACCCTCCTGCCCTCATCCCTACTCCTACTACTTCCTCTTCTCACATCTAACAATATACCTCCTGGGCCCAAAGCTCCCCCCACACACCATCTTCCTTGGCACCTACCTCCCTGCCCTCATACCAGCTGGCTGGTGATTAAAATGGACCAAGCTAGGAAGTGCCAGGGCGCACAGTCTAGTGTATCACATTTCCTTGGCCTTTTAGAGGGATGCACCAGGAACCCAGAAAATGTGGTGCGGGAGCCTGAGCCCCGGGAGGCCCATCTTGCTCTCCCCCTAGCTACCTCACTAATCAGCTGCAGCAAACCACTGAACTGGCCGGGCCTGCTTTCCGTAAAGCTCGGAGGTCAAGCCAGGTGATCTCATAGATCCTTTCACTATGAAAATCTAAAAAGTTCCCCTAGTTGATGAATAAAGAGGGGGGTGGGGGGAGGCCGGACTTAGAAGCCTGCTCATCTAAACCTTCTGAAAGGAACTCTTAATCTTGTGTTGTCTCTTGTAGTCAAGTCCTTGGGTTTTTGTTTGTTTGTTTTTAAAGATTTATTTATTCCGTACAGAACTGGGGTACAGGCCAGAGATGCGGAAGGTGAGAGAATCCAACAGGGACAGAGTGGGGAGCAGAACAGGCAGATCGAAGAAGTACACTGCTGAGGGGAGCAGCGGGCGGGTCAGGAGAGGTCTGCCACGCCATGTGGATCTCCTCCGGGGCAGGTGGGGAATCGAACTCATGCGGAAGTGGCTCAAGCCTCTTTGTGCTGTGTTTAACCCGCTGCACCACCACGGAGGGTCCAGTCAAGTCCTTGTTTTTAATTTGTTGAGATCCACAAGTGTTTTTTGAAAATTTTCTCAAAATAATGAAACAGTATTATACCCAAATCCACTGGTGATGGCCTCCCTGACAGCAGGCCTCCGTGACAGCAATGTGGCACAGCAGTTCATGGTGTGCGGCGCAAGCCGGTGGATGAAGGTGATAAGTCGCCCTGGGAGGGACGGGGGAGACAGAGGAAAGGGCGCTGGCCTCGTCCCAGACCTCACTTCAAATTGGCCAACAATGCCAAGAGACATTTCTGTGCCAGTTGCCAAGGTAAGTTCTAGGATGAGCACCGAGATCATCGTCACGAAACCCAAGGAGCTGAGTCCAGCAGGAGAAACCAGAAGAATCTCCCAGTTAGGAGCAAAACAGAAAAGAAATTTCATGTTACCAGCAAGCTTCTGGAAGCTGACTAGAACCCAGGGCAGAGCAAAGGAGACCAGGGAAGCCAGTGACAGTCCTCCCTGACTTACTAAGCACTAACGAGTGTGCAAGGCAAGCCTTACACAGGGTGTCTGCTAGGCCATAGCCACTTTTCACTGCAACTTGGCTGAACTTAAAAGTAACAGGTGACTTGAAGGTGAAGGTTGATGATGGCAACGTAGCTTCTTCCTTCTTCCCGTGACTAGCACAGCCAGCCAAGCAAGCCACTGAAAAAAAAAAATCCTTTGACTTTTTAAGACAGTTAATTGACCCTGCCTTTATATTTAAATAACCCCAAATAGACAGGCATGGAAGCAGTCCATGTCCCTTAATGAGAACCCTGCTATAGATGGGGACTGTCACTGCTGAGAGCAGAGCAAACAGTGGGGGTCAGTGAGAGTTTGGGTGGCCGTGGGCTAGTCAATCAGTCTTCTTGTGATATTAACATCCCTAAGTGATGAGAAGATGCTTATCAAGTTCAAAGGAAATAGAAGTTCCTGCTCAAGCATCACTGTCAACCGCCACCCTGAGTGTCACTGATTGACTGAATCAGAAACTTTCACCTTGGAAATTCCCCCTAAATCTGACATTACTCTTTTCGAGTAGAGCAGACATTGCTCAGAAGTAAACAAAGCACTTCTCTCTGGGGCCGGCCCTGGTCAGGCTCCTCTGGGCTCCATCACACCAGCTGCCCAGGAATTTACTGCCTGTTCACCAGCTGCTCATAAGGAATGAGAGCAAAAGAAGAAGGTTTCAGGAGTGGAGAGGGGAAGTTTAGGAAATCTCTCCACACAGTCCTGTTGCGTCCCAATTCCCAGGACATCAGATTCATCAGCTCAGCCTTGATTTTGTACCTTCATTCTCCACTTCACAGAAAAGTTGATTGTTTACTGGACTCTAGAAGCAATCCCCGTACTAGCTTGTGGACTACCAGCAAAGATTTGTTATTATGCAGTCACGATGCCACATCCCAAGGTCTGCATGAAACCCTGCACACATCACCAGAACATTTTCAGATGACCTGGAATAATCCCAGTCCTTGATCTCCAGCGCTTATTATTGGAACACCGGAATTAAACAAATCCCCTGGAAAAAAACACTTTGCAGATGCACAACGAAACATATACATAGTCTAAGCAAGCTGTCATATACTGAGTCCATAAAGTCATCCAAAATAAAAGTAGTATGTTTCATTACAAAGAAATACAGTCAAGGAAAAGTCACCTAAAAAGAATGGAGACATAAGCAATAAGGGAAAAAATGATAAACAAACTATGGAGGTAATTTTTATGTGACATTTAAGAAAGGGCTTGGTTCTGTCGAGTGTGCAAGGAAAGGGGGGCTGTGTATGCGTGGGCCCCTACAGCATAATGACAGAGGCACATAGCAGAAATCATGTCCACCCCCACCCACCCACCCCCCACACAGACACCACATAAACCCATCAGAGAAAGGAGATACCAAGTTACTTTAGAAAAGTCACGAAGAGGATTGTCTGGTTGTTTTATCCTAAAATTATTGCCAGAATGTTGCTCCAGGTTTTTCTGATGTCAGATTTATTGCCTTCCAGTGAAATACAATGTACCAATTTAACAGTCTACCAGCTAGTTACCTCTATTTGAGTTACGAAGTGTCAAATAAATTAGATTATCCAGACTGGAGGATTTTCCACTTTCCACCAACATGAAGCCTCTACAGTATACAACCAAAGACACTGGTTTGGAAGTCAAAGGACTCTAAGTTCTATGCTGGGATGCCCCCCAACCTCCTCCATCACAGGCCTACCGCTACCACCAGAGGGTTATAAACACAGCCACCCCAAAGTTTCACCAGGCATTTCTATGAGGCAGAAACAAAGAAACCCAGCTCATCTTTTCAGTTCACATGAGCTCTCCCTCAAGCCCAAGAAAATCGTTCCCATCAGAATCACTCAAATCTAAGCAATTATGAAATAATGAAAACTTAGTAAGGAAATAAAATAAAACACTGACCCTAATGGAAAAGCAGTGTTCAACAGGAAAGTAGCTCTCATTCCCTTCGGATGGAGAAAACAGGTTATTTGTTCATTGTTTCTGCAGTGCCCACTCAAAGAAAACAGACTAAATGGCCCAAGTCAAAGACAAACAAACTTCAGCAGTTTCCACCACTCACAGGAGCAGAACCCTTTCCACTAGGGCATCGATGGAGGCCACATGAGTAAAGTGCACAATAAGTGCCGCGATGAGGAGAACTGGGGGAGCTGAACAAACCATCCTGCCTCCTTACGGTGGCAAAGTTTACCACAACTTTTCAGAAGCAACAAACCTCAGCACCATCAGCCTGGATAGACACAGACCACCGTTTGGAAGCCCGGGACCGAGCTTGCAAAAACCCACCGTGCCGCATTTGCAAAACCTGGCCGGAAAGCCGGGAGCTCGCTTCTCGAAGACAGCCCCTCCGCATTGTCAAGCAGGGAAGGTCATTTTGCTCACCGAATAATCCGCTTCCCCCCTGCATACACGAGTAATCCGCTTCCCCCCTGCATACACGAGTTTTCTACTTTGGGATTGCTCAACTCTCCTGTGAATCGGACTCAAATAACCATGCAGCAACTTTATTCACCTTGGTTTAAAAAAAAAGAAAGAAAGAAATTCATTGTGCAATGCCCAGGAAAAGCTGACACTACGACTGTCTCTCCAACGAGCGCTTGCAATTACAATCCCAGGAGGAGGGAAAATCCTGTCTGATCAGACTCGCGGAGTCCTTCAAATAAAGACCCGATTATCATCCCCAAGAGGGACTGGAGAACTTTTTTTTTCCCCCTAAGGAGACCACCCCTCACGAACAAAAGTTCCATTTCAGTCACATGTTGGGAGTAGGAGTGGGAAGCAGGTTTGGTTTTTTTGTTTGTTTGTTTGTTTGTTTTAAGCGCGCTAATTACGGGGATGTTTTACAGTTCTGGAGACAACTCGGGTCCTCCTGACCAACTGTGACGGGCATTTCATTGTCAAAAAGAAAAGGGGTGGGGTGAGGGGCCGAGAAGCGAGGGGGGCTCGGCGGCGGGGAGCAGCAAGGTTACACTAAAGGGTACAGCCGCCGCCGCGAGCTGCAGCTCCTTCCCCGGCGCCCCAAATAATTCACGGGCGGACCGAGCAACTGCAACAGCCCCCTCCGAGGAGCCCGGCACGACTGGCCCGGCCGGTGCAGCTCCGGGGTTTCAAGCACCGACAGGGAGGGCGAGGAGATCTTTACCTTAATGCTACACTGAGCAGGAGTCTCAGACATGTCTCACAGCGAGAGAGATCAGGAAGTTCTCAGTTTTTTTCCACTTTCCTTTCCTCTCCCCAACCCAGAAGCGCTCCACGGCCGGCCAGACGCGGTCATTTAAGAAGTTTCTTGCAGCATCTCTCCCGGCAGCCGCCCCGGGGGTCGGCGAGCGCGCGG